CCTATCTGGGAAGTATTTTCAGGTTCTCTCACTCATCCCATGTGAGTCTGAATGCCATTTTCTTCTGAAGCCCTCCCTCTACAATGAAATCCCTTCTTAGAATCCTAACTCTCTGCCCTGTGTCCAAGAACTTGTGAAAACTAGGGAATATGTGTTCATATGACTTTGTTTTAATGTTTATTTCTCCCAATTCTGATGGTGAGCTTCATAAACACAGACACTCCTTACACTTCATTCTCCAGTGTCTAGAATAGCACCTGGTATGTGGTGTATGCACAGGGAGAGGCTGGATAACAACCCATCCTTGTATGTGCAAGAGCACATGGGCTCCCACCTCCCCAGGTGTGTGCTAGGTTTCTCCTCAATCTAATTTAAGATCAAGGACACAATATGAAAACGGAATTACTCATCAAACAGAAAATAAATGAAGCCCTAGTAAGAAATCATTTGGGGGCTGGCTCTATGGCATGGTGGTATTGCACTCTTTAAGAGAAGCTGATCCCACATGGCAACAATGGTTCAACTCCCTCACCCAGTCAGCCTGAAACAAGCTAGGTGCATGCATGAGTATCCAAGATCTGACAGACTGGAGGAAGGGGATCACACTGTGACCAGACCCGATGGACAATGCTCATCTCTCTCTCTCCAATGTGCATGTGCTCTATCATGACTAAAGAGGAAAACAATCCAACTTTTTATAAAAAGTTATTTCATTTATTTATCTATTTATTTCCAATTTGACTGGGGCGGGGGTGGTGGTGGAGGCTGAGAAAGCAAGCCTCCAGGTCTGGGACTTGAACTGTGAAGGGTCACATGGGAGTCCAGGGCCTTAACCACCATGCCACCTGCTGGCCCCAGAAAATCATTTTAAAGGGCGTGATAAAAACACATGAATGAAGCTTCAAGAGTCTGTATCCAAATTTAATAATCTCCACTTGAGGGACCAGCAGATGGCGTAATAATCTCTGCTTGGGTCACACTGGCCCTGAGGCACAGTCACATGTTCCATGAAGATTTCCATGTACTTCTAGGGCAGGAAAGTGCTCAGGCTGTCCAAGGTCTAGTTGACAGAAAGTAACACTCTCATGTCTCTGATCAGGGGAGGGACCGCACAGCCTCCCCCCTGCAATGGGCAGGGCCTGCTAATGATCCCGCAGGGCAGGCCTTTCACCACACCTAACAAGGAGCTTTAGCATATGTGTCACTCTCCCTGCAGGCCAAGGAGGTGATACAAAGTACTTCCTAGTTCAAGGATGAGAAAAGGTCAGAGCCCACCTATATTCATGAGTTCCTGGAGCTACATCTGCTGTGGGTTGTAAAACCTCAAAGGCCAGGGCCGGACAGTGATGTGGTAGTTGAGGCAGCTGACTGACTACATGGTTAAAGTCTCAGACCCACAGTGTGACCAGTCCCCATGGGGGGTTGGTCATCTCTCCCATCTCTCTCAGGTCAGCGCATGCACCCTCTGGCAAATTAAAAAAAAAAACAAAAAACAAAATAAAACAACACAATGCAAAGGCCAACTGGTTTCTTGTAACACCCACAAGAGGGAACTCACATGGAAACAGCCTCCCAACCCTGATGCAGATGTGAGTTGCAAACACCTGTTGGTGAGGCTTAGTAAAGTGGAACAAAACTCCCACCGCTTTCCTAGACATTCACATCAGACACACATAAGGTAATCTCCCCCTGTACCCGTCCCCCTGTCCCCCAACACCCCACTGAACTAGGGCTTCCAGCAGTCTCAGGCCCTCAGTCATGGGCTGGGCAGAGGGTGCAGGCAGGAATTGTAGGAGCCGGGCCCCTGGGCTACTGGGCCGTTTTCTGCCAGTCTGGGATTTAGGCCTTGCACATAGATGCTAGCCCATACCCCGTCCAGGCTGGCAGGCAGGAGAGCAAGGGGCAACTGGCCCCTTCCTGACAGCGACACAAGGACAGTGCCCAGACTCAGAGAGAGGGCTGGGAGGGAACGCCAACCAGGAAGGTAAGCACAGGGCTCTGAGAAACATAAAATAAAGAGATAGAACAGTCACACATGGGGAGAAAGGCAGAGAGCTGACAGACAGGCCGGGGGCTGCTGAGCAAGCCACTCTTTGCTCAATGTTTTAGAACACTAGGGCACGTGTCTTAAGAAAGCCCTAGGAACCACTGGTTTCTTCAGAGTGAGGGAAGCAGGATTTCCAGGGTAGGCACTGGACAAAGGAATTGCGCAAAAACAAACAGAAGAAAGAAAATGAGATGAGAACAAAGAGCCAGAGGCCCTGCGGCTGGAAATCCATCTCAGCAGGGGAGGAGAAAGAATATCATTTTCAGATCTACAGGGGCCAAATTCCAGGTCCTCCTCCCACAGAGCCCTGGGGGCCGGTGTTCTGCCAGAAAGCAGGCAGCTGAGAGTGGGCTGTCAGCACAGAGGAGTGACTGCATGACTGTAAGGGAGTGGGGGGGCAAGGGGGTGCAATGAAAACAGAGGGGAACTGGCACTTCAGACTGGAGGAAGCCATACAAAGGGGGCTGGAGGAATCTTGAGGAGCTTCCTTTTCCCAGTAATTGGCCACCTCCTCCTAGAAGAGGCAGGGACAAGAGTCCTGAGCTGGAGGGTCAGAGAGAGACAAGAATGCAAAACGAGGCTGGGCACTGTACTTCCACTCAGCAGAGGATAATCACTGGGTTACGCTTTCTGCTATTCGAAGGAAAGCTAGCTGTCACAGTTGGCACCAGGTGTAAAACCCTAAACCAGCAAAATATCCTCACATGCACCTAAAGTGCCCCACCCACCAAAAGATGGTATTTACACCAGCAGCTCAGTAAGAGGCCCACAGCACGGTGAGAAGAGGAGCTCTGTTTTCCACTATTCTGCCATTTGCCTCCCCTGACATTTACACATTCACTCACAAGCACAGCCCTCGGCCCAGGCCCACACGACCCAGGCCCACACTGTCACACCCTTGGGGACCTGCAAGTTGGAGCCTCACCCAGGCTGTTTCCGCCACAAGCCTGTAGGATCCGCCGTGCTCGTTTCTTAGCATCCTCTGGGAAGCTGGGGCTGTCCAACAAGTTTGGGTAGGTGCAGAGTGCCATCACCTGGGGGAACAAGGCGCAGGCTGGGCTCCCAGCACCCCTACAGGGGTACAGAGGACATGGGGCAGGGGACAGTGGGAGGATAGTGACTCCAAGGGACAGGGTTACAGCAGAGCTCAGAGGTGGGGGACACAGCTTAGCAGTAGAAGGGGAAACGCCGAGAGCCATGGGTGCTCCAGATGCACCGTGACCTAGGCCTGGGCTCAGGAATGGGCTGCCAGGAGAGGTGCTGAGGTGCAGACTGAGGCTGCTGTTCAGCCCTGATTCCACGTCCTCCATAAAGGACAGTGCTCACACCCCAACACCCAAGAACCAGGGATCTCCTGAGCAGTGGGAGGGATGAGTGGGCAGCCAAAGTGCAGCTGACAGGAGCAGAGCTGCACAGAAGCCCCCTCCACCATTCTCCCAGCCCAAGTCCCCCCACCCCACACACTGGGTCCCCTTCCCCTGGACTTCCCCATCCTCACTTTTTTGCCATCTAAAAACCAGGTCAGCTTTCTCATCTCTATAGCAGAGAAAATCACCCTAACCACACAAATTAAGAGGATCAGGCGAGGAGATGTGTGCAAAAAGTGGTAGTAAACCCCAGCTCACTGGGCAAGTCTAAGCTGGCACTCTAGGAGCTGAGCCAAGGGCCCTGGGAGGTTGAGGGGGGTCAGGGCTCTGAGCTCTGACACCAGCCAGGTGACTTCGGCGGTCACCAGGCTTCTGCGAGCCTGGCTTTCCTTCATCTGCACAACAGGCTGTGACTCGGCCTGCCCTCCCCCAGCCACACTTGTGAAGATCAGAGGAGACGTGTGAGGGCTAGGGAGGCTTGGAGCTGCTATGTCCAGAGGTGAGGCTGGATTTGGGAACACACTTGCCAGCCAGTAGAGGCTAAGGCTTGTTTTGGAGCCTGTTCATCACCTGTACCCAGGTGTGCATGGGGAGCCTTTGCTGGGAGACCACGTTCAGCCTCTCCCCTCCAAGGTTCCTATTTCCAGGAGCGTCAGGGCCTCTGATCTCCTCCTGCCTCCATTTATCAGGTAGAGCTGCTCTGTTCTGTCTCCTCCTTCTCCTTGTCTGGTCTGATTCATTTCCCCATTCTGGGTGCAGCTTTGAGGACCCTGATATCCCTGGGCAGTGGGCATGCTCTGAGGGTCAGCAGCATGGCCACACAGTGGACATTCCTCAGACCAGTGGCAGCCTCTGTTCCTCTCGCCACTACTCTGTGAACTACCTCAGGGACCCCACCCCAGAGCACCCTTCTACCTCAGGGTCAGGACAAGAAAAAGGGAATTAGGGAGCCCAGTCCTCAACATCCCTATGGACCAGCCTGTGAAACCTCAATCACACCTAGAACCAACTTGGGTGCCAAATAGGCTCAGTCCTCCTCCCAGAAAAAGCTCTCAGCCATTGGGTCTCCCAGCTTATTTGGGCTTCCCCATGTGTTCTCCTGTTTCCCCCCCTCTAGCCCCACAATCCCTCAGTGTCGGTCCATGCATGTCCTGTGGTTGGTGCTCAAACTGAAACTCTAAAACTTCTGGAGCCCCGAGGGAGCTGGGTCATGTTGGAGGCAGCCAAGAGAGCAAAAGCCCCTGGTGTCTGCCATCCCCTGCACCCTCCTGCTGGGCCAGGGAAAGTTCCCAGTTGTCTTTCAAAGTACGGCCCTGGTTATCGCCACTTGCTCGAAGCCACCAAGCTTATCAGTGGCAGAGTGAATACTCAAAGGGTTTTGGTTGAGAAGCTGAATCTCGAGCCCTACACACCACCTCTGGGCCCACTGGGCCTCTTTCTCTCCTGGGGCTACTGCTTGCCCCTCTAATGCCTTCCTTCACCAAACAAACTCTTTTTTAAGAGAGACTTTCTTTTTTAATATAGGGTGTGTGGGCTCCCCAGAGAGACAGAGAGAGATAGAGAGATAGAAAGCGAGAAATCACTCCCAGGGGGAATGACCACATCGCAATTCCTTCTCTACTCTCCGCTCGGCATCTTGGACACACATGCACACGTACTCGGCATGAGTTTTAAGCCGCCAGGTCTGGGACTCCAACCGTGATCAACTACATGGGAGAATAGCGATGTAACCATTAAGCCATCTGCTGGTCCCCAACCAAACTCTTAACTCAGCATCCGGGACCATGCACCATGGAAGGGCCTCCCTGGGAGCCCCCCCATGCCAGAACAACCCTGAAATGGGTTTAGGAATGTTCAACTGCCTTGAGGATGAGGAGGCCAAGGGAGAAACCCAGAAGACATCAGGCCCTGAAGGGGGCTGCTACTTCAGTGGCGCCTCCCTGTAAAATTCTGGTGCCTATTGTGTCCTGAGGGGCTGGAAGGACAAGGAGGCAGAGGATGGTCCTACAAGCCCGTGCTGGCCTCTCCCAGCCTCCAGATCTCCCAGCAGCGTCTGCTCCTGAGGGCCAGCTCACCTGTCGGAGGAATGTAATGGGTTGCTGCCCCATGGCTTGGGCGTCCCCGATGTTGGCTCGGATGACCTCAGTGAATGGTTTTTTGATACCCTGCATAGAAAGAAGGCAACAGGTGGTTACTCAGAGACTCTCAGACCCCGGATTTGGAAGCCAAGCAGTGCCCCGCAGGATATAATAAGCAGCCCTATTTTGAGCCTTACCAAGTGTGAGGCAAGGTGCCAAGTCCTTGATATGCCTGGTTCACATTTAACCTTCATAGACACATGAGGAAGAGCTAATCTCAATCCCATTTTACAGATGAAGAACTAGAGGCTCCAAAAGGCTAAGAAACTTGCCCTAAGTCATGTAATTGATAAATATACTTATTGGGATTTGAATCCGGGAAGATAGTCTACAAGATCACCCTTAACCACTGTGCTCTGAGGTTTCCCGCTTTCCAGAAAAGCTTTGGAAGAGCTTTTCTGGACTGCCAGAACATCCTGTGGCAGTTGTAGTTTCATACTTGATCGTCACCTCACTAAGACACCTGAAAGGTGGCTCTGGGGAAAAAGTGATGGGAGGAAGGCGGGGGTCTGCAGCAGAACATGCCAAACATGAGGGAAAGGGGATCCCAGAGTCCCTGGTACCCCACTCCCAAGGGTAGCTCCAATTTAATGGCTTAGGTAAATGATCAGACACACTGAGGACATCCTCACCTCCAGAAGACACCAACCAACCTACAGGAAACTCTCAGGGTTATGCTCTTAAAACCTTGGTTTTACAGAATGAAGGATATGGGCTGATTTACACTTTAAAAAAAAAATAGCATCAGGGAGGAAAAGACTGAAGAGCAAAATTGAGGCAATCACCTGAACAATATGTTTAGCACAGAAAAGAGATTATAGAGAGGAGGAACTCAGAGACCACAGCGATGTCACTGGGGAGGCCACTGGAGGATACCCCAGCTGCTGCAAACACAGAAATGCAGTTTGACATAGAGGACTGTGGGGACCTAGGAACATGGCAATTTCATGTGACTTGTTGATAAGTCCAGAATTAGCCACTGGAAGAACTGGAATCAACAACAGGTTCAAGGACCTCCCAAGGTGGCTGAAAGGATTATCTGAGACAAATAGTGTGAAAGCACTTGGCAGAGTATAAATATCATCATCTTACAAAGCCAGCCAGTGGTCCAGAAACAGGAACAAGGTCATGATGGTCCTAGTATAGGAAGGAGGAGGAGGACAGGAGGTGGCTGTGCCAAGGGATGACCTGAGCAGGAAGGCCTGGCAACCTCTATCTTCAGCTGCCCTTTCCCCCAAAGCAGCCCATGTACAAATTTTAAAGATAATTCTATGGTTTTGACACTTGTTATTTTCTCCATTTCATGCAATGTATGAATAAAAGTAACTTTAGTAGGAACCTTTGCCTATTTAAACTCAGTAATATACACCTTCAGTGGACCTGAGAGACAAAAGCAGCTGTCAACAAGTTTTGCTATCCCTAGTTTGCCACCCCTAAGACCTAAGCAAGGAGGCACTGGAGTGGGAGAGTGCTGAGGAAGATGCCTCAGAAATGGCCTTAGACCTTCAAACATAGGGCCTAAGTCTCTGAAAGCTGTGTAGGGGGGAGAGGCCCTTCAAGTCCTTGTGCCCCTTCCCTTGAGTTTTTCAAGGCTAGCCAACATGGAGAAAAATTTCCAAAGACATCAAGAAACAGTCAAAGTATCTAAAGGGCCAAGGCAGGGAGGTAGCTCCACCCACTGCACCAGGGCTCGCT